ATGATACCCACACGAGGAAGTGAGGAGACAGATTAACAGAGCCAGACGTGTACCCAGAAGCCTCCTGCTACGGGACAAGCCCAAGAAAGAAAACAACAGAACACCACCGGCCATCACCTACAGTCCTCAGCTAAAACCTCTCCAACGCATCATTAGTGATCTACAACCCATCCTGGACAATGATCCCTCACTTTCACAGGCCTTGGGAGGCAGGCCAGTCCTCACCCACAGACAACCCGCCAACCTGAAGCATATTCTCACCAGCAACTATACACCGCACCATAATAACTCTAACTCAGGAACCAATCCATGCAACAAACCTCGGTGCCAACTCTGCCCACCAGCAACACCATCACAGGACCTAACCAGATCAGCCATACCGTCACTGGTTCATTCTCCTGCACATCTACTAACGTAATATATGCCATCACGTGCCAACAATGCCCCTCTGCTATATACATTGGTCAAACTGGACAGTCCCTATGTAAAAGAATAAAGGGACACAAATCAGATAGTAGGAATGGCAACATACAAAAACCTGTAGGGGAACACTTCAATCTCCCTGGACACACAATTGCGGATCTAAAGGTAGCCATCCTGCAGCAAAAAAACTTCAGGACCAGACTTCAAAGAAAAACCACTGAGCTACAGTTCAATCTTCAAGTTTGACACAATCAACTCAGGATTAAACAAATACTGTGAATGGCTAGCTAACTACAAAAGCAGCTTCTCCTCTCTTGGTATTCATACCTCCAGATCAGCTACTAGAAGTGGGCCTCATCCTCCCTGATTGGATCCACCTCGTCATCTCCAGCCTGATTCTGGCCTGCATATTTATACCTGCCTCTGGAAATTTCCACTACATGCATCTGACGAAGTGGGTCTTTGCCCACGAAAGCTTATGCTCCTACACTTCAGTTAGTCTATAAGGTGCCACAGGACTCCTCGCCGCTTTTGCAGATTCAGACTAACACGGCTACCCCTCTGATACTGAAGACCTTCCTTAGCTCACTTAATATCATAACCCAAAGTGAAACAAGCATTCAGCAATGCAGCTCAAATACGTGCACAGAGCAATCAGAAATGTAGCTCCCCATGAGCGTACAGGGAAAGAAGTGTTTTTTGGGAGATCAGAGAAACAATAAATGCGGATTCTGGAAAGTGTACAAACCCAACACTGAACCCTTCACATTTACTGTTTTATTGCAGTAGTGCCCAAAGACCTAAGTCAGCATCCCTTTGTGCTAGCCACTATAAAATATTCAGGACAACACAGTTCCTGCAGAGAAAAATTTAATAAGTTAAGACAACAAAGTCTCGATTCAATGAAGCCAACTGAAAGGCTCCCATTGACTTCAGTGGGTTAGGGATCAGTTTGTATGTGAGCACAACATCCACCATAATGCCATGCATATGACAACTCATCTTCAACCAGAAAACTTTGCGTCTGCCTGCTCTCAAGAAACAAGATTCTCGCCCTTAAACACTCATGCAACCAGCATGTGCACACAAAAACGAGTCAGAAGGAAAACGGGGCTTGCCCTAGGTCAGGGTTTCTCAAAGTGGTTCACGGACCCACTCTGAGAAAGCTGATACTGGACTGCTCCGGTTTGTTTATTTACCAGCTCTGCAGCCACAGAGCCTCATGACGCCCATTGGTTGTGGTTCGCTTATTAAAGTCAAGGGGAGCCATGAGGCTCTGTGGCTGCAGAGCCAGTAAATAAACTAGAGCAGCCCGGTAGCAGCTCTCTCAGGGGATGTCTACACTACAAAGTTAGTTCGAACTAACGGACGTTAGTTCGAACTAACTTTCATAGGCGCTACACTAGCGCTCCGTTAGTTCGAATTTAATTCGAACTAGCGGAGCACTTAGTTCGAACTAGGTGATCCTCATTCCATGAGGATTAAGCCTAGTTCGAACTAGCTAGTTCGAATTAAGGGGTGTGTAGCCCCTTAATTCGAACTAGTGGGAGGCTAGCCCGCTAGTTCGAACTAGCGGGGTAGTGTAGACATACCCTCAGAGTGGGTCCATGGACAACTTTGAGAAACACTGCCCTAGGTCAAGCAAAGTAATTATTTGAGGTCTAAAACCTCACCTCAAACATACATCACCTTTTCAGTTTAGCAGTGCTATCACAATACAGAAGGAACCA